GCCAGCAGAGAAATAAAAAATTTAGAGAGAAACGCAAATCCTATTTGTCAATTTATTTGCCCAAGTATGCGTGCAATCACAACAAACAACGGAGCAGCAACAAATGTCAATTGCTTAAGCAAAATTGCGCATAATTGACATTTTTCCAATTTGCAGTGGTGGGTTCCGCAGGGGGGGGAGAGGTCATTGTTAGATAGTTAGACCCCAGCACGAACCCTCGGTTCCCTCGTATCTGTAGACCTCTCGATTCCTCGTCACGCCCCGCACTATAAAACTGTCTGCGGCAATGATTTAATTTCCCAAATATTGTCGAACATAAATTCTGGATGAAATGGGAATGGGGGATCCTTAGTTCTGAATCCCGAATCCTGGCCAAGTGTCAAGTGGTATTAAAAGAAGTTGCCGCCAAGGCTGGACCGCACGAAATTCGACTGGTTTATGTTTTGTTTGCGGCCACTCATTAGCCTGTTCCCTACCATAGACCATATCCCAAAGTCCCTATAGTCTCTATAGTTCCTATAGTCCACACTGTCCTCACTCTCGAATGTGTCGCATTGTGTGGCTTCCATAATTATGAGCCCTTTGTTGCTCAATCTGCCGCAACACTTGTTGCATTGTCCTCGCTTTGTGCCTGTGTGTGGGTTCCATAGTTTCCGCCTAAAAGGATTTCACAGCTCATAGATAATCCCATTGGCATAGGAATGGGATTTGGGCCTCGACTCCTTTGTCTATTCTGTGGCAGACGGAGGCGTTGGCTCCCAGCTTCGAGCGCTCCCTTCTCCATGGGGTGACTTAAAGGTATTTTAAGATATTTTCAACAGCCTTAAGTCTTAAGGGGATATTCCATATTTATGATAAGGTTTTGGCATTTCAGTGTTTGTGTTTTTATAAGGGGAAATACATGCATACTTCCTGATAAAAGTTAATAAGTTTTTATATAATGTTCCATTTATATATAAACATTTCTTATTCAGAATTCTTATGGAATTAAGAACTCATATGCATTTAATAAGAAACTATAAATTAAATCTGGAATTAATTGCACAAAAAATATGTCAGGTGGTATTAAAGTTATAAGAAGACATGGGATTATATGCAAAAATCTGTTTTAAATTTTAGGTTCAAAGCGAACTTAGATTAAACATAGATTGTTCTCCTAAGTTCATAATTCAAATTTAAATAATTTTTTTTTTGACCAAAGGTGTAGCTTATAACTTGTATCGCAACTTATATTACTTGATTTACACAAAACTGCGATCTATGAATGACATGTTTCGATGGTGTGCAATGCCTTCCCATCAGATTCAGTTTTCTGTCCGGAAATTAAAAACTTTCAACTAAACTGTACCCATACAGACACTTTTTATCAAAGGCCAGCTGATGAAATACTTTCAACTCACCACTTTGAAAATTCTAAGGCTGCGTGAGATGTCGTCTTCGTATTTTGCTGTTGTGCCCCTGACAATGTCATGATGGCGTCTTGAAAACATTGAAACGGAAACGTAGATGGAACACAAATACAATGTCTGACAAGTTGCCCCTTTCCGTTCGGTGGGCCCAGCCCCTGCCCCTGCCCCTCCCCCCGCCGCCCATGGCATCTTGGCCATATAGCGTGCGTGGCGGCGGCGGCGGCAAAAGTGGCCCCTATCATTATGGCTGTCGTCTTAGCCGAAATTGTTCGGAGGAGCAGCAAACAACAAAGATTTCTCGCTGCGGATGCTCTTCCAGAATGGGCGCCTCTTTTTCCCTCGCCATCCCATACAATACCATACCATCTTATACCATCCCCGATCTCTGATTTCTAGGCCTAAACATATTTTGGCTGGGAGAGTGCTCTTCGAGCATTTTCCCCCATTTTTCTGTTTTTGGTAGAGGAAAAAATTGATTTACGACTTCCGCTGGCAATGAAAATTCACTTTGGGGTTTCGAAAACACTTTTGAGCTACTTCTGTCTTTTATGTCGAGTCTTGTGGCTTCTGGGTCCGCTCGATCGTCGATTGAGCTCTAGTCGCCGCTCGGGGTGTTCAGTTTTATAGACTCATTTAAGGCGATTATTTAGCAATTTTTTAAGACATTTCTGTCGACGTTATTTCGCGCATACAGGCTCGCTGCTCGCCAGTTAGTGGCGAAATTTATGGCTCAGAAAGTGAATCATTTAAGTTAATGACTTTCAAACGTGTTTCACACTCAAGTGCGAGCGGGACGCACCGAGGCGATCGGTAAAGTGCGAGCAAGATAGAGATGGCCGATGCGATGGCTGATTGACTTGACTCACTGGCCAAGACAAGTAGCCGCCGTGATTGATAATGCGCTGTTTGAATTATGGCCATAAGTGTAATTTGACCAGTGGCGTAGCCAGCAAGAAGTTCTGTTTAAGAGGGAGTGGGTAACTCATAAGGGCTTAAAAGCAGAAAGGGGGATCAAAATAGTGGTTAAACTAAAGGTTAAGTTAGGGTTATCCTTAGTCATTGAAAGATTTTAACAAACTCTATTTAACATGGCCATTCAAAGATAGTTCAATCATTTAAAACCGATAATATCAACAATTTAGATATAGATAGCAATCAAAAGCCACAAGATGGATAATTTTAATGGTTAGTTAAGGGTTATGTGAGGGTTAATTTTAATCAAATCAATCAAATTTAATCAAATCAATTTTAATACCAACAATTGAGATATCGTATGGAATCAAAAGCCAAAAGAGGGATAATTTTAATGGTTAAGCTAAAGGTTACCTTAGAGTTAAGTTTAATCAATGGTTGCATAAACCATTTAACACACTCAAGCCTGCCTAGCAAATAAAAAATTGTACAATCATATATTACGACACCTATATTACAGATATTACCAACAATAAAGATATTATATTTTAAGGAAATGAATAATTCGATTTTTAGTATAAAGTCTAATATAATGTATTATTATTTTATGTTGAGGTTAAAATAAAATGGACTAGCCTCTGAAACCTAAATAAGAAATAACTCCCATATTTCACGAACAAAACATCAAAATCCTATCTATTATATCATTATAATAAGTAATAATAAATTACTAATTCACTTAGTTATATACCAATCGTTAAATTTCTTTCTTAAGATCCCTCTTTTCCACTTCCTTGGCTCCAAGTTAGCTTTTGATAGAGACGCTTCGATGGATACCTTCCTAGGTCTAGGCCACCTTACGATTTGTTGCTGCTTTTCCACAAAACAACCACGGATCCCAAATGGAAGTCGGAATTTGTCTGCCCGGCCTGGGGGCGTTTTTGGGGTTTTATTTTTCAGAGTCGAGCTCGAGAGTCGGCTCGTTTCGTTTTGTCTTCTGTGCTTTTTTGGCGGCAAATCAAACCGAGTTTATGAAATTGGCAAATTGGCTTATGGGCAGTCGCGTCGGCCAAAACCAAAGCGAGTTGATGGACGACCCAAGTCGGAATCGGAATCGGAGTTGGAGTTCCAAGTCCCCATCCACCAGCAAGACCAAGTCGCAATCCTACAGATATGTCTATGCGTGCCAAAGCGCCAATGGCGTTTTAATTTGAAGTTGGGACCGGCGTTTATGAGCTGCCTGACTGACTGCCGACTGCCGTTGACTTTTATTTATTTAATGTTTCGGCTTTGGCATTTGGTTCTTTATTATTTTATTTGGCTTTTCCTGTGCAAGTGCGAACCTGTTCCTCATCTACCTGGGACTAAGAAAGGCGAACGGCCAGCGAGATCGATGCAAAACTGGATTAAGTCCCTTTTACGCCCTAATCCTGGGACCTTCTTGTAATGCCAAAAGGTAGGGAATGGGAATGGGAATCCTGACCTGAGACATGGCGCCAGTCAGTCAATCGAGTCGTGGCGAGTCGAGGCCTCTGAAGAGCACTAATAGGATCAGCAATGCTGTCTGAGCCCTGGCGTGAAATCCGCAAATGTTGTTTACCCTGGCCGAAAAGGGGTTGACCCCTGACCTCTCTGCAGAAGTACACCCACTCTATGGGCCTTAGAAGGTGTCTCTTTTTGTTTATTTACTTTAAAGCAGCAACTTTTCTGTTCTGGCTGTCACTTCTCTTGACCAACAACCGACTGCCAAAAACAGATTCTGCCCGATCGGATGACTATGAGTCAACAGAAAAGCGTTAATGGTCTCGAAAAAGTTCGCATCGATCGATGATGATGGGAAAATCGGGCAAACAATGAGGGCCGAGAAAGGCGCACAAAGCTCTCGGCTCTCGAGAGTCGAATCAAGATATGGTACTATACTATATAGTATGTAAGTACTGATCCGGCCATCATTATGGCTTTCGATAGCAATTATCTGCTACCGTTTAATTGTGCGCTCGGCGATTTTGTGGGCCGCTGCTGGCTGATTTTTCACACGCATTCTCACCGGCCGCTGCCCACCTGGATTCCCCCGGCCAGGTGATTGAGCCACCACCACCCACTCGAAAAATGTTTACCACCCCCTCCCTTCGAGAACTCTGTGAATGCTGTCATGTGTCTAATGAGTCGCTGGCCCAGTTCGCAACTTGGCCCGAAGTTCGCGTTCTCTTTGTGTAATTTGCACACTTGCATGGGCATTTTACATTCTGCATTTCCTATATGCCTTTTCCCATTTCCCATATCCACTTTTCCGGCTACCACGCACTCCGATGGACGGATAGACGGATGGGCTAGCCAGAAACTTTGTGGGTAATTTGCATATGGAACTTTTAAATCATACTGCCCGAAGTTCGCCTATGACACCTGGGCTTACGTCTGTAATCGCAGGAGGAGCAGCTGTGCCAATGGACACATATATCAAGTTGATAGTGTGCCGAAAATAGGGATATTTCCGGAAATTCCTGCATAGAGAAAAAATACTTAAGGATCAATTTGAAATACGCATGGTAAACTTGTTAAGTATCAGTTTTACCTTTGCATAATATAAATATGGCATTAAGGAATGGTATTCTAGGTATTTCCTCCCTTTGAGGTTGATACTGAATTTCACCAAAATGATCAAATGATCTATGATATCCTATCAATATTGTTCTTCGTGTATAAAAAAAATCTTCCGATTGCCACTATAATTTTGTCACGAGTCTCTTATCGAAGTTTATTCAAGTGTGTGTAAATCTATCAAATCAATAGATCCGATTTGTATCTGAAGTTAATGCAATGTGTAAATGGTGTGCCGTATCATGCATATTTCCCATTTTTATGGTCGCCATAAAAACAGTTTCCAAGTTCCCGAACAAACGAGGCGAGTCATCTCATCGAGTGGACAGACGCGATCACTTAATTACCTGTGCGAACTTTTCAGTCGCTTCCAAGTAGGCGAGGGTACAGTGGGCACTCGCTGCGGCGAAGGGGCGGGAACAGGTTGACTGACATTTTCACCTTGTTAATTATGCGCACGGTCATGCAAAAATCGCGTAATGAGTGACGGCCATTGAGAGTTGCATTGTCAGCGGACGATGATAGTTTAATTGTGAGTGGTTCTGGCGAGGATCGGGGGGAGTAGGAGCTATGTGGTTTGTCCTAGCAGAAGTACAACCTGCCTGGCTTCATCCGACCGTACTCCCCGTTCTCGGTGGCCGCCACCTTGATGCCCAGGGTGCCATCGCTGTCCTGGGTCCTCCGCTCCTGCAGACTCTCCTCCACATCCCGCGCCGTCACCGAGTACTTCTTGAGCAGGCGCCCCCGGTTGGCGTACTTGAGGAACACCCCATCGCCATACTGCTGGCGACTCTCCAGGTAGATCTGATCGATCCGCTGGTAGTGGCAGCACTGCATCCGCGGATACCACGAGAAGGTGTCCTCCCAGTGCCGCGAGGTCCTGTCCATGGCATGGATGAAGGCCAGCTGGTAGCGCAGCTGCTCCGTGGTCACTATGTCCGCCGGCATCTTGTCGAGGAGTGTGGGCTTTTGTTTACTTAACTCAGTGTTCCTAAGGGTTATGCTGTGTACAGTTTTTTAATCGTTGTGGTTGTGGAGTGGACATCTCTCGAAATGTGTGAAGTTTCTGGCTGGCCCACCTGATTGGCAGCTGAGTTTGAGGATCGGAGATCCTCCCTAATCGCATTAGCTGCCACTTGACAGGCGACAGGTGCAGTGCATCCAGGTCACTTGGTAATGTGCTGCCAGCCACCTGTGCAAAAAACTGCAATACGCGCTTGGAATTCTTGTGAAACATCCCCCATTTTGTTTAAGGCTTATCACTTGGTCTAATCTGATAAATAAATATTGATTTAAGAAGTTTTAAATGTTACATCAATCACCAAAAGTCTGCTATCTTTGTAAGCTGTAATGTCCCCCAAGACAATTCTCGACTTGTCGATTAATCTGGAATACAAATTGTAATATTAACTTAATGGAAATTTTAAACAAGCTTTGTTTTTACCACGATTCATTGTCACAAATATACGTCACACATTATGTAGAATCATCTTATTAAGATTTAATTTTCAATAACAAAAAAGCTAAGTTTAGATTTCTTTTTATTTTTAATTGTGAACTGGTAATTGAGCTTTTCTTCTAAGGAATCTGAGGAATTGAGAAAATACCTTAAAGATGGTACATAGTGTTTATGTTTAACCGGAATAAAATGATTCAATATCTGGAACCGGTACCCGATTGCTTTTTACCGGTTTGGCTTAGTTACAATCTTTTAGTTAGAGATTATCAACCAATTTGATTGTACCAAAAACTTGATTAATGCACTTTGGTCAGAAGTTCAAAACTCATTGATGGAGAAACCATATATATTCCTAATTTGCATTGCTAGACAAGTCAATATAAATATTTTAAAAAATTTTTTTAAGAACCGGTTCGTATCGGCACGAACCCTGTGCCAAAACCAGATTCGGTTTGATTGCCTGCTTTAAAGATAATACATATAATGCATGAAGGCAACCAACTTAATGGAAATCTTCCGAATTGTCTCCTGTGTATCAAAGATTTCTTGGTTCATATCTACATATGTATTTCGATCAGTGGTAAAGTATGGTGTGCTCAGGCTTTGGTTATGTAGAGAACGACGTCGGCGCGAGTGATTCCATCAGTTACCCAGGTGGTGTTCATGAAGTATCTGCCATCGGGGATGATCGTCTGGACCAGCTTGTTCACGTGATGCACTGGTAACCTGTCGATCACGACGTCTTGCTGCGGGCAGAGGAACAGCTAAGGGCTGGGTTTCAGGACTTGGCAGGACTCACTCACTGTGTAGGGACAGGTGTGGTTCATGTTCGAGAAGGGCGCGAAAGTCTGGTAGACCCAGTTGGCCAGTACGTGCTTATCGGGGTCCCGGAGGAACTTGCAGGCATCCACCTTGATGTCAAAGTTGTACAGGATCCGCTTGTTATCGCGCATCCTCAACTGAAACTTGGTCTGAAACAAGGACGGAATACTGATAGCGCGAAATATGCCAGAGCTTCATCCTCTTACCACGCAAGTCTCGATGGGTAGCTGGAAAAATTTGGTTTTTAACGAAAGGTACTTGTAGGAGCGATTGACCGACTTTAGGTAGCAATATTCGAAGTCCATGAACTTTCTGTCCCGTACCAGGCAGTGCACATTATTAAACTCCACATGTCCCCGAAGCTGTGGAAACTATACGTTTTATATGTGCCTTCAACAGATATACATATACTTGATTCTTACTACGATCGGCCCCATGGAAACTAACAGAAAAATTTGAAAGGTGTCCATTCTGGACAGCGACTGTTTCGCAATAACCATAATAAAGAGTGTTTAAAACATGAAATATTCGAAAAGATACAATTTGTAATTACTCGGTCTATTGCCATTCTAACTGCCAGTCAATATCAATCAATCAGTGAAACGCTTTTAATGTTTAATAAATATAATGAAAATGGTAACTGTGTATGCCAAATAACACTATTCTAAATAGATATAGCTAAATATTTCAATACCACCAAATTTAAAAAAAAAATATTTTTTTTTTGTATTCCTAATCAGAAAAATTAATTTAAATTAATCGCCTTGCCGATCATCAGATTTTTATAAAATTAAGTCGAGTTGTAGCCAATAGTTAAGCATAATGTTTAATAAAAACATTAAATTTTAAAAAGCACAAATTTCTTTATTTCTTGTTAATTTATTTAAAGTTAAGCTAACGACCCACATTAATTTTTTAAACATAATTTGGTTTTTACTCAATTTCTTTAGGTGCTATATATTTGTTGGCCAAAAAAATATAAAAAAAATTTCCATGTTTTAATGCAAATTGACGTACAATTATTTTAAGAGTTCACCGAGGTACCATTTTACATATTCGAATCATTCCTGATTTTGATTTGCTCACAATACTGTTTTTATTTGGCATAATATCAGGAAAACTTTATAACCGATTTTTAGAAAATTTTAACTGCAATTCTTTAAAAGTAAAAACAACGCGGTATAAAACCTTTTGGAAGGGTATATTACATGTTCTAAAACTCAAGATCAAACTAAAATCTTTAGATCGATGTGGTTTGTGACAGCGGTATAATGTAAGCCATGTTTTAAACCACCTTGAGCAAAGGCTAAGTCTTATCAAAGTTTTCAACCTCCTTGCTTAAAGATACCGATAGTATCGATAGTTATAAACAAATCATCGGTTTTGTTCCATCTCTAATCGAATGTTTACGTTTTTTTGGCGCGCATTGTTTTCTGCGTCCTTTTAAAACTTAAAAAATCCTCCAATATCAGCGTAGCGCAAATGCCAGAAGAAAATGCAGATCTAGCCGGGATAAGGCGCTTCTTGAAGGAGCGCCTGCAGCGGGACTACACCACCTTAAGGGGCTACGCGGAAGAGCGGGCCAATGTGCGCCAACTGCTGCAACGCACGGCGGAAATGGGAGAATCCAACTCCTTGCTGCTCATTGGACCGCGGGGATCCGGCAAGACCACGGTAGGGATTCAGATTGGAGTTGAAACCACGGTCTATAACCCAGCTCTTCCAATCCCTTAGCTCATCAACGCCGTGTTGGCGGACCTGCTGGCCAAGAAGTCGTTTGTGGAGAACACACTGATCGTGCACCTGGACGGGAACCTGCACACGGACGATCGCGTGGCCCTCAAGTCCATCACCGTGCAGATGCGGCTGGAGAACGCCGCTGATGGCCGGGTCTTCGGCTCCTTTGCCGAGAACCTAGCCTTTCTGCTGCAGTGCCTCAAGGCGGGCGGCAAGCAGTCCAAGAGCGTGGTCTTTATCCTTGAGGAGTTCGACCTGTTCTGCGCCCACCACAACCAGACGCTGCTCTACAATCTCTTCGACGTCTCCCAGTCCGCCCAGGCGCCCATCTGCGTGCTGGGGGTCACCTGCCGTTTGGACGTGATCGAGCTGCTAGAGAAGCGGGTCAAGTCACGCTTCTCTCACCGGCAGGTCTTTCTGTTCCCCAACTCAGAGCGCTTCGAGGAGTACGTGACCCTGTGCCAGGATCTGTTGACTCTTCCAAGCAACAACTCACTCTTGGAGGCGGCAGAACGGATTGATAATCTACAAAGGATCCGGTCGGATGTGCTCTGCTTTGCACTCAACCATTTCGACCCCGGGGATTTCAGCTTCCAGCCCAGAACCCGCGAAATGTGGAACAAGCAGGTCACCAAAGTACTTGCCACTCAACAGGCTAAGCGCACTTTGCAAGCGCTATACGACTTTGACATTAGCGAGGCCTTCCTCAAGAACTTCCTGTTCCGCCTGGTGGCACAGCTCCGTCCGCAATGTCCCCACATAACCTCAGAGAAAATTGCTGCTCTGGGAGCGCAGTTCGAGGGCGACGACAAGATCGAGCTGCTCTGCGGGCTGTCGGTCCTGGAGCTCTGCCTCATCATCTCCATCAAGCACCACTCGGAGATCTACGACCGCGATCCCTTTAACTTCGAGATCATCTTCGCCCGCTTTTCCAAGTTCGCCAAGCTGTCCACCACGATGCAGGGCGTTGAGCGGTCCATTGTTTTAAAGGCCTTCGAGCACTTGCGCATCGGGGAGCTGATCATGCCGCTCTCCGGCGGAAGCGGCGGTGGTGTGGGCAAGGTGCAGAAGGAGTTCGAGATGCATAAATTGGCCCTGACCTACGGCCAGATCCAGCAGGCGGTGCAGAGATACCAGGCCCTTCCCACGGAGGTGGCTCAGTGGGCGCAAAGTTCCCTGATCTAGCACGCCCTCATTTCCTTAAATTTATTCCTTAATTGTTTTATTTATTTATTATTTAAAATTAAGTTAAAGCTGGGTTTATTTTTAATCTCAGATTAATATTAACTACAATTTGAATTTATTTTTGTAATGAAATAATTCTTAGTCTAGTATCTTAAGCGAATTGTTAAATATAAATTAGAAAGTTCCATACATATTCCTAGTCCTCAGAAATAAGTGCAGGAATTCTTCTCTTTTGAGTAGCATTTAGGTCAGTTAAGTACATTTTCTTATCTGCTCCGCACTAAATCGATCGATAATGCTAATTTCTGGAACCACCCGCATTTCTAAAACGCCGAAATGAGGGTGGATCTCGATATATAAAGGCCATCGATTGTGAAGCAGGAGCCAGGAGAAGCTAGAGCGGCATCAGCATGAGTACCCTAACTGTTCTGGCTGTATCGCTCCTGGTGGCTCTTGTGGCCGTCAGCCAGGGGGATGACAGCCCAGGATTCTTCCTGAAGATCACCAAGAACGTGCCGCGGCTGGGCAAGCGAGGGGAAAGCTTTACCATGAAGAACCTGAAGACCATTCCCCGCATAGGACGAAGTGATCAGGTGAGTCCCAGCAAGAAGTTATCCTCCAGGACCGCCGTAAATCTCATAACTAATTCCAGAGCTCTGTGACTCCTCTGTTGGCCTGGCTCTGGGATCTGGATACGTCTCCCAGCAAGAGGCGTCTGCCCAACGGGGAATCCTTAGCCAAGGAGCAGGAGCTCAACGTGGTGCAGCCCGTCAACTCCAATACCCTTCTTGAGTTGCTGGACAACAATGCTATTCCGAGCGAGCAGGTGAAATTCGTACACTGGAAGGATTTCGATCGGGCCCTCCAGGCCGATGTAGATCTCTACAGCAAGGTCATCCAACTGGGTCGTCGTCCAGATCAGCACCTCAAGCAGTCCCTTAGCTTCGGAAGCTTTGTGCCCATCTTCGGCGATGAACAGAATCCGGCCTTCATGATGTATAAAAATAATGATGATCAGGAACTATACGGCGGCGGTAATCGCATCGATCGCAACTTCCTGAGGTACAACACCGTGTGAGGAGGTGTGTAAGCTATTGGTTTTTATAATCGGTATATGAAAACGTATTTAACACTTTATGAGCTCATTTTTAATATTTTAAAATATAAATATATCCAGAACCTTAAAATGGTCAATGCAATTATGCTTACTCTATTATTATTATTAGTTCAGAAAAAAATTCAAAGTGAACCCATAGAGACCCAACTTAAAGTCATAAGAGCCACATTTTCAATTTAAAGTTTTCATGATTTTAAATGAATTTTTTTAATATTTGTAGTTTAATATTTACCAAAGGTATGGAATCTCTTATTATTTATCATTTTTGATGACGGTTGCTATCCGCCCACAAACTTGTCATAAAAACACCCACAGAAATCGCACAGTTTTCAGAAAAACACGTTTAAAGTTTTGATAATCTATGGGCGTTACTTATTTATTTAAGGTTTTATCTTTTACAATTTGAATGGGGAGACTTCTCTTATAGCTTGTGTTTCCGTTCTCTGTAAATTACCAAGTCAATACCAAGTTTATAACTAAATATTTTTTTTAAATTTGTAGTCCTGCTCTTAAATCCTAGAACGACCCTTGCGAAATACCTATGGTATGTGTTTAATCTTTTTGTTATATTTTAAATTCAAAACATATCTTCTTAATTATCAATTTTGGAGATGACAAGAGAAAGTCAAGAATACCACAAGTTGACGATGACTGGAGCGGAGCCTGTCATTATCGCCCTCCCGGAAGGAATCCAATGGAGCAGCAAATTAACGGCGCTTCTTCGACCAGGTCCACTCCACTCCACTCTTTGTGATCTGTCGAGTCAACAACCTAACGGCTTTCGCCCCACTCCGCTCTCTTTTTCGCCGGAAGATTCAGTGACTCAATGGAGCGATCTCGGCCTTATCAAATTTATGGGGCCCACTGATGTTAGGAATTTCCATCGTTCGCATTCTTCTGCTCCCTTTTAACGACTTTTACCGGTTAATTCAATTAAGCGATCTGTCCGCGAATTGAATACACAAACAGGATCATGGCGCCGTAGAATTTTAGAATTTGATATGTTTATTTTGCTTAATTAGCGGGCCGCTGTTAAATATGCGACTGGCCGATGTTGACCAGAATTCGCAAACAATTTAGTAATCCCCGCGGCCCATAAACAGTCGTAACTTACAAGCGGGACTCAAAAACTTCGTGCTCCAACAAACACAGACGCGATGACGACGCAAACTTGACTTTGAAATTTTTGCAATGCCTCGACGATGTTCGCCTCATTTGTGGTTGTTATTGTTTTCGGCCTTTTCGATTGTTTACTTTGTTTTTCAATTTCTATTTCCAGTACGAGTGTAGAACAAGTTTGCTGGGACGAGCCAGCGTCTTGACTTGAAAAACTGGCAAGGGGGTTGGGTATTGTATTGTAAGGTGGATCCGTTTTGATAGAGATGATTGATACTTGAATTTTAATATTTACAAAACTAGATTTCTTGATGTTTTATAATAACTTATAAAATCTAAAACTTCTTAGAATGATTGTACGGGCTCAAAGGACCAAATGTTCTACTTTTGCAATAATTAATACCCCATGGTTGGTTCCAATATTATAGCTTGGGTGGATACGTTTTGATAGAGATGATTGATACTTGTATTTTAATATCTACAAAACTAGATTTCTAGATGTTTTATAACCACTTATAAAATTAAAAATATATTACAATGACTTTACGGGCTCAAAAGACCAAATGTAATACTTTTATCCCATTGTTAGTTCCAATATTACATATTGGTTTAGGGGCTCTTCAACTAGGGGGTTCTTCCAACTTCTTATTTTCAAAAAGTTATTTTCCTAAAAAAAAAGAATGATATATAAGGGGAAGTCTTGGTCTATGATGACGTACTTATGTGGACATCCCCTCTCTTACTTTCTTCAGCTTAGTGGCTACGTGAAAGCCAATTCTTCTGAAGATCCGATTCTCCGACGCCCCTGCTCTCTCTGGGGGGCTCCCACTCCCACTGCCTCTCTCGCTTTCGCTCACCAGCGGCGCTTTCGCTCTCCCGCCCGCCGAAGCTGCGCTCAGAGCTTAAATACGTGTGCCGAGCCAGCGGCGTCCGAAGACGACTCACCGACATCGCCGCGATCGGTTGTTTAGCTTGATACCCTACCCAATTCGCTCTGCTTCCGTTTCGCTTGGAATTCTCCGTTTTCGTGATCGATCCGCCCCCCGATCTTGCCCAGATATCGAAGTGTGAAACAAGCTTTTGCGACGCACCACACACGTACGCCCAAAAATAGCGATAATACAAATTGGCCACGCTCGTTGTTTGGATTAATTCAATTAAGTGCGTCGAATAGCAGAAGAAAGCCACTTGGCTAGACCCGAAAGCCAATAAAACCCTGTGTTAATCTATCAAGCGTTTTTATTGGGCCCTAAAAAAAAAGAAAGTCGCCGCACAAAGGTTACACAACCCAAGCCAGGCGTGCAATTGACCCACGGAACACGGATCACGGATCCCCTGAACATTTCATATAGTGGGGAGTACGCAACACCAAAACAACCAAAATGAGTGCGGCGAAAGTGATCTTGGCCTGCTGCCTGTTGGGCGCCTTCCACATGCAAATTAGCTCGTCATCGGCCATTCCCATCTGGGAGTTTTTGACCCGCAACGAGAAGGTAAGAGAAAATTAAAAAAATCGAAAAATCGATAAATCCGCACAGTGAGCACATTGCGCATGCGCACCTTACGCCAGCTGCAGGTTGCGCATACGCCCCGTTTACTCCACTTACACGCGGCAATTGTCCTTGGCATTGCGCATCTGTCGAATCTGTTGAATCTGTTGAATTTCTGAATCTAGCGCAGTGCTGAATAACTGATCAGTCGAGCATAATCATTATTAATAACGATATTGATATGGATATGCTGATGTTGTGATAACTTCAATGAGTTCGCATATTAACGGCGCTTCTGTTTTTTTGGATTTCACTTTGCCACAAAAAAAAAACAAATGGAATGAAGACAAAAATGAATATGAATGGTTGACAAGACTTGGTCCATTGTCAGTGAGCGGTATTCGCTGGCTGATTTGCATAACCGTACCGCGATTGGCATCGTAACCAAGATATAACACAATAAATACTCGAGCTGAAGAAGAACGGTCCTTGGCATAAATAGATACCTGGCAGAGTGCGATCTTGACATTGGGCCTTATCAGAGTCTGGCGAGGATTATGTAGCTTCAGATATAGTGGAGCTCAGCCTGGGAATACCGGTCTAGCAGACCGGCTGCCACTTGATTTCGAGAGCGTTCGAGGGGTGTCTCATAAGCGTTGCCAAAACACCAAAAAGTATCTGCAATCTGGTTTCACAACTGATCAAGCGAAAAGGTTATACTCGTGGGGGTTTTTGGTTTTCGATCTATCAGCGTTTAGTCAGCCAATCCCCCGAAAAAAATAAACAAGCAAGTTCAGCCAAGCGCGTTGCAAACATTAATTTCCATTTATGAGGAACAACAGTTTCAATTTACATTCGCAAGTGCTGTAAATTGCCAGCGAAACTAAAAACTAAAAAAAAAATAACAAAAAAACTAAAAGCTTTTCACTTTTCTGCACAAATGTTTGTGCAACAAAGCGTGACAACGTTGTGGCAATTTTCTCCGCGTTTTCTGTTTATTTTGTGTTTTTTGGTTAATGAACTCCGCGGCCAAACAGCAGGGGTTTTGTTTTGTTTTTGTCCGCTTATTAATTAGCCGATGGACTTTAATTTATATATAGCAATTTGCCAGTCATTAGATCTTTTTGCTTTCCGCTGGCAGCGCATCAGTCTGAACCGATTTTCTGACCGCCAAGCACGCGAACTGCGCCTTAAAAACCCGAGACAATAGAGCTGGGAAGAACAATGTATCCAGAATCCAAAACCGAACCCGATCCCAACCATCCAGACAGCCACAAGTGATTGAAAGCCGCATCCGGCACTCCACACGAGTCGGCCGAAATGAGAAAATAATTTCTAAAAAAGGCAATTAGCTGCCGAAAAATAGAAACGCAATTCGCGTTTTTAACATTTTACTGCCGATACTCGGGCATTTGCAATTAATGTAAATTTCTAACGATC